CTATTGTCTGGGCCTGTTGGTCATAATTTGTACTAAAATAATGAATAACTTAAGGAGGAATGCATCCAAGAGGATGGAGTGGTGATCTCAGTTCATCTGCAGCAGTGAGAATGATGGTAACAGCAGTGTACCGTGATGGGTAGTGACGGTGTGGGGAGGGCCTTCATCCAGCAGTGGACTGATGATGGTCGTTATGATGGGCAGAGCCTGATGGTACACCAAGTCTCTCTTGCAAGAAAGTGAGTCGGTATCACCTCCTTGAGCTGGTGCAGTGGTGCAGTAGTGCAGTAGCTCGCTGCTTTGTGAACCTGGTGATCTGAGTGTGGTTCATAACCGCAGCTCACATCGGGGGAGAGTGATGTCTGCCCTGATCCTAGGCCTCCCCTTCACCAAGGCACACCGGACAGCGTGACCCAACAACCCCGACCCCCAACACGGCGTGGGGAGGCCGTCATCTGGCATTGCATTGACAAGGGGCTGCAAATGATCACAACGTGTATTATCGTTATTAACTCTCCCACCCCACCACCCCTCTCTGCCTTTGCATTAATCCTAAGATTGCCTCATTTTACATGGCTGGCTTGCAATGTGACTATTAATGGCTGAGATGGCTGGGCTGGATAGGCAGGTGTTAGAATAATTACTCGTTCTGTGATTTTCCTGTGGTCATTGTGTGCTTGCAAACAGACCCGGCTCGTTAGAAGTGGCCGCATTAATAACTCGGTGCTGCCGAGTGGGTTTTGTGGGACGTGGGAGCGGACCATGCGTGTTTGACATTCGGCGGCGGGAAGGGGACTTCATCAATAGCGGCTGTCACCACCATTCCCTGGCCTGTCTGCCTTCCTGCCACTGCGTAGGGGAAAAAAATGTAATGAAAGGCAAAACAAGCTGTGAGGGAGAGAGGGAGACACACGAGGAGAGTGAGAAGAGAGAGAGCGAGCGGGTGAGAGCGAGCGCTGGATAAGAATGAGTAAAGAGACACGGAGGATGCACGACACAATGGACAAAACGGCAAAGGGACGCGGGGACGAGTGACCGAGAGAGGGCGAGACGTTGATCAAACGAGAGCACCGTGAGGGCAACAGAGGGGGAAACGGCGAATAAAAGGGGCACAGTGTGTGCGTGCCGTGGCGGAGACGCGAGGTGAGGGGATGGGAGGGAGAGAGCGAGACTGATGAGGCGGCGGCTGCTGCTGCTGCTGTAGCTATGGCGTTGTGTAACCGGGTGTCCCTTTGTCAGGCAGCTCACGTAGTCGTCTCCCCCGCGATATGCATCGCAAGCTCCGCGTCCGCCTTCAAACAAAGAGAAATCTCTCGGCGGATGGCAAGCTCTCTCCTCTGCACGTCGAGCGGTGAGCAGCAATGAGCGACACGTGCGGCGACGCGAGGGGTTGGTTTCGTGAGTTCCCAGCGGCTATCTTTTGCCGTCAGGTGCCTCGAGTCGTTTGAACGTAAAGATTAAAAAAACACCACACCGAGAGCGGCGAGTGTCCTCGCGCGACGGTGGCGAGCCACTTGAGGGTTACGGGGAGCGCGAGTGGGCCCCGTTATCTGACGAAGGCCCTGCGCGCGTGTGTGTGTGTACGTAGTGGCATGGGCTGCTAGGAAGTCCGCTGTTCCGGCAAATGGCCTCAACCGGCGTGGCTAAAATCTCGCCTGCCGTGCGACGGCGTAGAGGTCACGGAGGGAGCTGCTGCTGAGGCTGCTGCTCCGTTCTCGTCGTCGTCGTTGTTGGTTTTGGAGTGTGGGGAGGAAGGAGGTGGCACGGGTGAGGTTCTCTTGCCAGGGACGGTGCATCCTTGTTGGCCCTGGCGAATGTGTTGGTGTTGCTCACACAGTGCCTGCCAGGGAGTGATTTGAGGCTCGCCAGCCAATTTGGTTTGGGTCCAAGTTCAAGTTTATTTATTTATTTCAACATAAATCCCTGCCACACTCTCCCCCCCCCCACCACAGCCTTCCCGATGAGCCGCACACCAAACCACTGCTCCCCCAGTCAGCCCACGGCCCCCACCTCGTCACGGTTTCCCTGTTGCCATGACGACGGCGGCCGCGGAGATGGGGACCGGCGTCGGTGCTCACCTTGTTCAGGCCCGAGGTCACCCCCCCCACCCTCTTTGTCCGCGTGTGCACGTGTGTGTGCGCATAAAAACACACGTGTGTGTGTATAACAACACACGTGTGTGTGTGTGTATAAAAACACACACACGTGTGTGAGTATAAAAACACACGTGTGTGTGTGTATAAAAACACACGTGTGTGTGTATAAAAACACACGTGTGTGTGCGCATAAAAACACACGTGTGTGTGTATAACAACACACGTGTGTGTGTATAAAAACACACGTGTGTGTGTGTGTAAAAACACACGTGTGTGTGCATAAAAACACACCTGTGTGTGTATAAAAACACACGTGTGTGTGTATAAAAACACACGTGTGTGTGCGCATAAAAACACACGTGTGTGTGTATAACAACACACGTGTGTGTGTGTGTGTGTGTATAAAAACACACGTGTGTGTGTGTGTAAAAACACACGTGTGTGTGCATAAAAACACACGTGTGTGTGTGCATAAAAACACACGTGTGTGTGTGTATAAAAACACACGTGTGTGTATAAAAACACACGTGTGTGTGTAAAAACACACCTGTGTGTGTATAAAAACACACGCGTGTGTGTGTGTGCATAAAACACACGTGTGTGTGTGTGCATAAAAACACACGTGTGTGTGTGTGCATAAAAACACACGTGTGTGTGTGCATAAGAACACACGTGTGTGTGTGTATAACAACACACGTGTGTGTGTGTGCATAAAAACACACGTGTGTGTGTGTGCATAAAACACACGTGTGTGTGTGTGCATAAAACACACGTGCACACGCGCGCACGCTCTGCCTTCCCCATGTGCTCACGGCTTGGGAGGGTTGTTATGACTGTGGAGATCTAAAGACTGGGAGAGAAGGGAGCCAGGCTGACAGAACGTGACGCTAAGTAGCGCTAAATCAGTTTGTTTTTATTTAAAACAGCAGCTGCTCACGGGTGCCGCCGCTTGCTTTCCTTGGAGCCTGCGCAGCGTCATGCGTGGAGTGCACCAACGCGTATTTAAACAGCGGTCGGTTTAAAACTAAAAAAAATGTTACGTCGCGCTATCGCCGGTCGATTCTCTTCGTCGCCGCTGTTACAGTATCTCGGTGATTTTGATTATTTATTTTGGCATGTGCACGTCCCCTGTCTCTCCGGCATGTTTCCAACCCCGCTAAGGACGTGTGAACGGCTCCGTGAGAATCTGCCACGCGTGGCTTGGGGGCTATCCCACGGAGCGCTACATTCGCACGTCTGACACCGCGGTCAGGCGTGGGTGACAGCCGCAATTGTAACCTGTTGAGAAAATGTTGCGGTCAAAACAAAAAACCGGCTACTTTAACCACTGATGGGCTGTGTAAATGAAAACTTTTGTTCTTTTAAATGGCCCATTTTCTCTGCTTCGAGGGCCTGCTAACAGTCAATTTTGAAGTACTGAGGCCCCATCCACGAACGACACGGGCAAGGGCTGAAAAATGTTGATGTCACCGCATTTATCAGAGCTCGAAGCATATTGAGGGGGAGCTGACGCCGTTGGTCAGAGTTCTACCCACAACGTAAGTTCCACGCATTCCTCCTCCTGATTTATGAAGCCAAATTGCCTTTCAGATATAGCATGCGAATAAGCAGGTTAGTGCAGTCTTTGACCGCACTATGTGTTTAAGCTATTATCACTATCAAAGCCCAGAGCGTTGACTGTGTGCAATGAGTTTGAGCGAGCCATCTAGGCAAGTAACACTGCATCATTTCATCAAGCGATTCTTACGCTCATGATATATGCATCAAATGACGCGCGTGAGAATCAATTATTTACGACCTCTGCAATTAATATACAAATTATATGCTCTTATTCTTTGGTACTTTTGGTAAAGTCACGTAGATAGAATAATAATAAAATTTAAAGTGAATAAAAATAATAAAAAACAAGAAAACACTAATGTAGACTGTAGCCTGGTTCTTAATCGGAGTAAGTGTACTGGCAGTCTAGTATATGCTCTTGTACAATTGAGACGTAATGGGCAGTACAGAGCTGTAGAGAGGCTGGCGCCGCACGATGTCCGACGTTTGGCTCCACGTCCTGGCTGCTTCTTCAGGAATCTGATTCTGCCTCGATGATATGAGCGTACCGGGGGATTTGACTCTCGAATCGAAAATCGCTGCCCCCGAATTGTAGCGGCTCATCGGGGGGTTGACTCTCGATGTGCCGAATGACCTCGCGCGTGCCCAGGGTGTGGGTGCGCGCGGGGTCAATCGCTCGTTTCCCACTCGCGCCGTGCCTCTCAGCTTTCACCACCGATGCAGGGCAGCGAGTTGTCATAGCTCAAGTTACAGTGGATCAAAATGTGACACCCACAGTTAACGTTATCAAAAGAAGAATTTCAAAATTCCTTGCACGGTTGTCAAATTTTGACAACCGTGCTGAAGTCAATCAAATTAAACTGTTTGGTCTTCGCTTGCCCGTTTTTCAATTTCACCCAGCAATGAAAGATCGCCAGCATAGGCTAATTTTCCTACAACAATCAACTCACGGTTGTATTCAACAGCTGTTGTCAGCGATACTGTGTGTTGCGCCCAGGCATGCCCCAGGGGATAGGGGGGGGGTAGTAAAGGAGATGGGGAGGGAGAGCTGTAGCGGTGGGGAGGGGCGTGTGGCGACGTGTGTCCGGATGGAGTGAAGTGTCGCAACCGAAACACGTGGGAAGAAGATGGAACGTGATTTATGACGGGGGGCTCGTGTCCCCGGCGCGGCCGTGCGCTGATGTCCCGGCGCCCGCCGTCGCCACGACTTCTGTTGGCTCCTCCTCGACGTGGGAGACGACACGGGAGTCCTGGAAACTACGGGCGTTGTCGGGCGAGCGGACAAGTTCATGGGGTTGACATTGAAGGTGGCATTCCTGTTGTCCGCGGAGAGCGGCGGTAAGGCGAGAGTGTGTGTGCGTACGTGCGTGTATGTGCGTGTACGTGTGCGTTTGCCTGTGTACGTATGCGTACTTGTGTGTATGTGTGCGTGCGTGTACGTGTGTGTGCGTGGAGCTGTGATGCGGTGGTTCACACACCGTGCTATGAACCCCGCGACTCGAGTTTGATTTCCGGCCACAGATAACATCAGTGGCGGGGTGTTGCATAATCTTTTCTCCTGGACTTACCCGAGATGAAAGCCACACCAACCTTCCCATGTGCAGTGCTCCCTTTACTATGGGCCCGCAATCCGTACTTGCCCCTATGAACGATGATGCTAGATGGGGGATCGTTGTCTTGTGTGTGTGTGTCTTGGCACCAGGTGAACAATCGATGCCATCCTGGAGAGAGTAGGTGGAGAGGCAACACTGAATCTAGGGGACAGTTCAGTTCGATGGTCCAGGTGGTCATTGGGGCATTTAAATATGTAGGGTGCTCACTGCCATCAGAAGATTCTGTTGACCGCAGGGGCCTCTTGAGAGTAGCACAGGCATGGGTTAAATAATTGCAGAACCGTGTACTAATTTGAATGTAAATTGCTGCTACAGCAACAGCATATATCAATTAATCAATGGGATCCTTTAAGTATTTATATCCAGGTAAGGACTCCTGTATATACTAGGGGTAGATAGGGGCCTCGTTAGTTTTTTCATGTCTGTTGCTACCAAGACTCGGAGACCAGGCCTGTAAATGCATGCATGCGTTACAACATTACGAACCTCGATGGTGCAAGATTTGCGTAATTATTACTTCCCAGAAGTCTTTAACTGTGATCTTCAGCTCAGCAGAGTCCTAAAAATATAATAACCTTCATTACAGAATTTTTATTCCCATTTCCAAATCAAGGATGGGGGTGTGCGGAATGTAATGAGCCAAGCCATTTCGGGGCTATTTACATCTAAATGATGTGACCGATAGCATTATCTCCCCATTTCATTTCCAGTTTCACCAAAGCGTGTAAATGTATGGGGAGGATGGACATAAGAGTTTAGAGGTAGAGGAGGAGGAGGGTGGAGGAGGCGTAGCTGATGGGTTTCGCTAAATTCTTGTATCATCTGCCAAGGGCTATTAATCCAGAGGGGACGTACTTGCGTGCAGAGACCTCTGCATCTGCCATCGCCCTCCCCCGGATTTCCCAGGGTGCACCGCAAAGCCACAGAAGACGCGCTCGAGAGGCGCGCTGCACACCGATTGCAGTATCTGCTCACGAACGACTCCGTCGACCCCCATCCACGCCCACGTCATTTGGCATTGACGAGTCGCAGTTTGGAAGGGTCGCTGCTCTGCGGCAGTTCCCGGGTGGTGCCTCGGCTGTGGGTATGGGGCCAGTGCTGTGGCTACGAGGGCAGCACAAGCAGCTGTTGTCCGCTCGATGCGTGCCATCGATATCGCACCACGAGCAACCTGAACCAATAAACTGCAACCGGCAGAAGTTGGCAAGTCTCTTGCGAGCATTTTTGACGTCCGTGTCTCGTGCCCTCTGGTCTTGTACCATTCTTCTTGTGAGTGTCGTTTCTTCTGGCTGATTTCCTTCCACTGCAGGAGATATCTTTCAAACTCACAAGCGCAGAAACTTGTCCTATACATTATAATGTAAACAAATTCGATGTATTTCTTTATCGATTCTCTTCTTTAGTGATTGGTTTAATTAATTAATTGACCAATCTTTATGATTAATTCACTACAATTAGCTTGGTGTAGGGATCATTTTGGCAAGTGTCACTTTCTGTGGAAGCGTAACTCTGGAGCGCGATTGCTGCATCTGCCAGTAGAGAACTGCAAGCGATATTATGTAGGCCGACGGCATGCTGGCCATCTATTGACTTCACAACACGACAGAGCACTTATTTTCCTTTGATTTTAACAAAGACAAAGATCCCCCGTGTAGCCTTTAAAAGACCTTTGGGGTCTGTGCTCTTTAGCCAGAAACTGATGAAGGCTGTAATGGGTTGGGTGGCCAACACAACATCCCCCGGCGGCCTTTGTCTCCCCAGTGCTGATGTTTACACACAGCACCAGCTGTTCATTTAAGGCAAAGTCGATCTAGGGGAGGCCCATGATCAGATCAGATATTCACCACCGTTTTTGGCCGTGAGCGGGAATCGAACTTGGGTCGCCGGGTTAGTAGCAGAGTTTGTTAACCACTGTGCCACCACCCCCCGTCATGTGTGTATATATATTCACGCACCTTGTATATGCTGTGAGTATGCACAATCCCTATGGAATCTACATATTCATTGCAAAGCTCTACTGCAGGAGACGTGTTATGGTTGAGAGCAGCTCGAGTTTCCAGCGTTCTTCCGGATTTGGGTGAGATCCTGGGATGGCAACAGCACGATCCCAAAAGGGGGATCGAGACTTGTGAGTCTGCGGCGAGAAACATTGTTGAGGTCAGTGTACCCCACCGCCGACTCAAGAGTGATTACAACGCAACCCATTCATAAATAACACTGTGGCCTTAAAAGGGGGAAACAAAAAGCGTATCAAAAGAATAGGTGACACGTTGTGTAATGGGCCTTCTTCATTTCACATGCACAGAGGCCAGAGCGATGGAGTGGATCAGAGCAGGAGCGATAACCGCAGGCCCAATGCGGCCCGAGAGGTGGCGGCTTCGCTCGGCCCTCGTGGCGGTCGCCCCGTTTGCCTCCAGCGGGGCCGGCGCGCCGTCGTCATTCATCCCCAGGCGTCGCCGTCGTCGCCTTGCGGGACGACGACGCCGCCGTTGGGTTTCGCTGCCACATGCCTGCTGGATTCCTCCCGCATTCCAGCCTTTGTGTGCGCCCCACTCAGGAACAAGATACTCGCACTTAAAACGTCTCTCTCCTTTGCGGATGTTATTTATTTAATAGCTCATCGAGATGTTAACTCCCTCACCTGGTATGCAGGAGGAAGTGGGTTCAATCCCGACCCTGATGCCTGCTGTAGATTTGGAGTTTGCGGTGGCTCTCTCCCCGTGTTTTCGTGGATTTTTCTCCGGACCCTCTGGGTTTCCCCTCGAAATTTAGAAGCATGCGTTTAGAATGTTTGGCTGCAATTAATTAATGACAAGCCACTTCGTTGGGCTATCATTTGTGATAGCCAAGTCCCTTCTGAAAAATAGCTCTATAGCTCAGTGGGCCTTACCTGGCAAAATAAAAATAGCTTTTAGTTTTCAATTGGTCATTCGTTCGTCTTGGAGAAGGTGGCATACGATGATGCTCAGGCCGTGGTGGACGCTGGAAGCAGAGGGGCGACGTTTGCCTGCGAGTCTCCCACTGATGTTCCAGGGCTCTCGGTTCTTAACTATTTTCTCGATTCATCGATTCGAATGAGAATCAATTGCCAGTATTTCTCATTCGTTGCTATCGTTTGCGATTTGCTGTAGGCGCTGCTACATTTGCCACTGGCAAAAAATAAAACCCAACTGATTCTTAAATCGAATTGCGATCCTGAATTATGACAATGCGTAGAACTGCTCAGTAATCTTCTGCGGAAAAGTAATCCTACTCACAAATACCAAATCACTATCCTTGTACCATGTTGGATGTCAAAAACCTGCTCTGTGTTTTTGTCCACTGCTGCTCCGGACACAAACTCTTACCAGCGAGACCGTCCCCTTCGGTGCACGCTCGCTGCAGGTGGTGTCACGCACGGCTCGTTCCCGTCACCGTGCTGAGCCGGTGCTCGGACCAACCGAGCGTACGATGGCCGTCCATTAGAGATAGTGGGGGGGCACATCGTCCGAGGAGCCGTTTCCCCCGCGGCTTGCGTGCGGTCCCCGCTCGACCCCGCCGTTTCTCCAGTGCCCTCGCGCCGTCGCTTCGCCATCGCTGCCGAGTTTCGGCAATTAGTGCCCGCTGCGCTCGCCACCGATCGGTTCAATTTGGTCGGACCCCCGTGGGTCAGGAGTGAAGCCGGTGGTGCGGCAGGATTTTAAGGGAGGGTGGGTGGATGGGAGGAGGCTCTGTGGGCAGAGGGGATGGAGGCTATGGTTATTGGGGAATTGCAGTATTTTACGCATTATAGGAGGCAATTTTGCCCCTTGCATTTCTCAGGAAAAGTTCAAAGGAGTGAGTGTTTTAATGCTCAGTTTAACACGTCGCAGGCTTTTGCGACCAATATCATCCATAATACAGTTTTTTTGGGTTAGATCGCGTAAATATATAAATGTGTCGTTAAACCCGCCACCAACCGACACAGCCAACTAGTAAAGGTTGTCACGTAAGCAGAACATGCCAATTTGTCACTAGTACAGCACACTGGTGTGTTGGAGAGCAAATCCACAACATTTACAATCGGAGTACGACGTTTCGCCAGTAATTACAACCGGCATCATCAGGTGGCAGCCAGATTTGTGGATAAATGCTCCTGTTTCGTTTCTTCACACGTCCAAGTTTAAGTCTGTGAGCCATGCGATAGTTTCGGGAGTTGCTCAGTCCCGCCGGAGAGCCCGGGGCGTAGGATGTGGTTATTCACGATAAGTACCATTGTCTGGTTCGGGTGTCCGCAGTCACACCATGGGTTGTCTTCAATTCTCCCCTTGTGGAGGAGGTGTGGCGCAGCGACCAGTTGCTGTTATGAATAGGTTGGTGGAGCACCGTAGTTGTCTTGGCACAGAGCGTCTTGTAATCCAGGAACATTCGGTAGTGCTGGGGTGAGATTTGGAGGCATGGGATGGAAGAGGGGTGGCTGGTGCCACTGTGCGTCGTTTTCATCTCGCGTTCAATAGAGCAGCAGGCACGGTGCGCTGACAAATTCCACGAAGTGGTGTGAGTTTGGTGTTTTCAGTCTTTTATATGTAATATTTTTAGCTCGTAATCCTTCACCAGAGATATTTATTGGATACAAATTGCATTATAAATGAGAATGAGGAATGGCTCTGTGCAGCCTTAACAGCCATATGCTGCTTTGATGTAGGTCTGGTTTGCGTAATTGTGGAACATAGTTTAAGTGTAATTGTGGGTAAACTATTTGGGCACATTTGGAACGGTATGCTTATCTTGCTTATTGCTTTTTATTTGCGGTTTTATGATGGGTGTAAATTCCTGTTGCAGTAGTAATGAGTAGAAATAAAAACAATCATGAAAAAGGAGTTCAGCTTTTCAAATGTTTCGTCAAATACTACTTGCTATCTAATCTCCAGAAACATCGTGATGGGGGCACAGCAGCAAACAGCCACGATTGCTATCAAATAATTGGCGAAAGCTGCAGACGAGTGTCCAATGAGGCAACGCTTTCTTTTTATGGGGGCATTTACAGCCCCGTCTGACGCATTTATCCGTGGAAAAGTTGGGAAAAGCGCTCGTTAAACAGTTTGTAAACAGATTTCTGACCGTCTGTCGGTGGCTGTGCTTCCTCCGCTCCTGTGTGAACGGGGTACGCCTTGTCACGAAACGTATGGGGCGATCCATGTATAGATACCCCACCAAAATAACGTGTAGAAATTATGGAGAAAACAACATTTTTTATTCAAAACCACTACGCCTCACCCCACCAATCTCGATACACTTCTTACATCTGTAGTGTTCATCACGGAGGCACACACTTGACTTGGAGGCAACATGTTTATTCCAACACCCCAACCGGGTAACTACATAAACGTGTTGATTAGCAACAACTTGAGTATTTCTAAGCCACAACGGGGAAAATACATAACCGGGTCAGTCAGCAACTGCCCCACGATGCCGAGTGAAGACCGAAGATCGGAGAGACGTAGCACCGAGGGTTGATTCCAGAGAACAGCCCCGATCGGGGCTCGGGACTCGGCCTTTATGGGCCGTGGCGTGGCCGGGCTCCGCCCTTGGCCACGCCCCCTTCCAGATCCTTCCCGAAGACTCTGGCCCTTACATCACGTGTCTCTCTCTCCCCCTTTTGGGCCCCCCTTGCCACCTCGTTCGGTCACGTGCCCTCTCGGGGTCACCCAGACTGTCACGTTCTCACCCGACCTCTTTCTCACTGTCACTAGAACTATGCCCCCTAGAGCCTGCTGCCATGGCATACCCACTCTGGTGCCCGAGAGAGGCACCAGAGTGCCGGTAGCTGGCGCGAACTGCTATAGTGACTTCATCTATGTCACTACACATCTTTTAATACTCTCTTCATACACTTTAATAATTATCGATACATTAACACGGAAACAATGTACAGTGTTGCTGTTGTGCACAGTAATACCATCATTGCTAATATCTTTGTAATGATATTATTACTACTATGGCTGCGCCAATACTGTGACACCACTCAACTCGGTTCTCCCTTGCAAGCACTGTTACGGGACAGACAAAGAGTGTCTCGGTGCAAGCCTTAATAAATAAAGGTTTTGTGGGATTGATGATACGACCACAAAATGACAGTGCGACAGCAGGAGTTGAAGAATGCGCCTTCGGGAACTTGTGGATGAAATCACAATCATTGCAAATGAATCTGGACGGCCCCTTGAAGTAAATGAAAGGGTTGCAGGAGGAGAAAGGCGTGGGGATGAAACCTGAAGGGTAGTTCAGAGGAAGTGACAGTGTAGAACAGGTTTTACAACAGAGGTATATTTACTGCTTGCCAGCAGGGGTTGATGGAACAGTGGAGGGAAACTCCATACCTCGATGGTAGGTTGAAGTGTAACGTGGAGCAGTGGTTCACGTCGATTAAGCTTTGAGCCGGGAAGGATCAATTGACAAAAAAAAGACACAATTTTTGTCGTAAATTGGCACAGGACGATGCGATGTGTGCGCGAGGAGCTCGAATTGAGCGTGTAGTGTGGTGTGGGACGGACGATGAAATTAATTTTCGTCAGGAGATTCGGGCAGGCACGTCGGATAGTGGGTAAATTGAGGTCTCTGGTGGAAGATGCGGAGAAAGTAGCAGATGTGCAGAGATCTGAGAAGAGCAGCACGAGGCACAAGGGAAGTTCATCCGGAGCTGCGGTGCTTTCTTGGTAGTGGCGTCAGTAGTTTTAGGCTGTATCAGGAAAGCAATATGCAATAATATTACTGGGGCTGATGTCATGTGTCGTGAGAATCCTCTCGTCAGAGTCCCGATTATCTGATATGCTCGTTATGCATGCCCTCGTTCGATCCACCAAAAATCCCGTTATCAGTGGATTGATTCGTCCTATTAGCTGCTGCAGATAAGATTGACCCGGAAGTTGTAGCAAACTTGATCTGTTATCTGCGCTTATCCGTGGAGCAGTCAGCTGATGAAGTCGTCTCCCGGAAGCACTCCATTCATCCTATTTATCCGAGCGTTCACGAAGATAAGAGGAGTGACCCAGAAGTGATGACAGATTCATCCTGTGTTCCGCGTTTGTTTGTACTCGGACAAAAGAAATAACATGAATGAATGGGGATAATATGATCTGCTGGTACAGCTCCTCCCCAACGGTATAAGAGACATTTCACCGCAGTGACACACTGTGCGCGTGATTAAGAAGTACCAAACTCAGTTTGACAAATGGTCCCCTCTGTCGAAAAGATGAAATATTCACCCGCAGCGATACGGGCGCTGTGTGCAGTGCGCAGTTTGATCAGGTGTGTTGTTGTGTTATTGTTATTTGATGCATTCCTAACACGTTACAAAAGTTACACACACGCTGTCCCTCGCCTGGGCTCATTGCTGTAGGGCCCTGACAGTGGGTGGTCGGCCAAAGAGGTTTTCAAGATTCGCCTGGTTCGCGAGGCTTTTCGTTCTCGCAGCATGCCAGCATTGTTGAATGTGAACAAAAAAAAAGCTTTAAAATTTTTGTGTGCAAAGTGGGGGGGGGGTGTGTGTGTGGTATTTATTTATTTATATACGGCCGGGCTAATTCCCACCTGCACGTCGC